TTTGTAACAATTCTGTAGATTTGCTTTATTATCTTCGAGACGGCAGATCATTCCGCAAAAAAAATCTGTTCGTCGTGGGTTCTAGTACCGCCGTGGGCATGGTTGTTTGTTCTTGTCTTTTTTGTATGCGTGTTGTCGCGGAAGGCCTTGTGAGTCTGCTGACCACAGACCAAGGAGGCCGCATGTGTCTAGTGTAAAGTGTTAATATGTGTCACCATGGGAAACAGTGTGGGTACCCAGCGGCAATATCCTCAATCGGTTGAATCTGGAGAATGTTCCAGGAAGAAAATGTGGTCACATGGAACAAGTTTGTATGGCCGATCCGGTGCCCGAGAACGCTAAGGTACAGGTAGTGGTAGTGCCGTAGCGATCTCGGACCGAAGGATCGCGGGTTCGAGTCCTGCCTCGGGCATGATTGTATTGTGTTTGTCCAAGCAATAGTGGTCGCTAATGACCTAGTAGTTGACGCGACCTTAAAGAATAACAAAAAAAATTGTATGGTTATTCTTTCTTATTCTTTCTTTAGACCAAAAATTCTTTACAGTTATTGATAAGTTAAACATCCACAAATTATTATTATTATTAAGATTTTACAAACCTTTTGTGGCTGGGAATGTGGGAAATTCTCCCTACATTTTTCTTTTTAAAGATAAAATAGAATATTGTATTGCAATACATTTTGGACACCAGTTGAAAATTTATTCCGCAAGGATTAATTATTGTGTAAATGTCATTGTTATATTGTTTTGTTTTAATTTATAATTAATTATTTGAAAGTTTGTATATCCAATAAAGTTCTTTGTTATTGTTCTATGCTTGCATTTCTAACAATGTCTTTTGATGTCTAGACAGGCACGTGTTGCCTTTATAGCTCTGAGAGGAGACACTTCTGCCTTCATCTACGTATGTCTTCCTCTACGTCTCCCTCCGTTCTCCCTCGAGGTCCTACGTTCGAGTCCCGACGGTGGCAGAATTTTTGACACTAGATTGTCAGCTAGGTCGAATTCAGTCGCTGTCTGGAGGAGAATTCTAGCGGCCGGCCTCTCTGATCGGTAGCTTTCCGTGGTTTCTCCTATTAACCCCATGCGAATGCTGGAGCAGTACCCTTACAACGGGCTATGGACCGCGATCTTTCCTACCTCTTCTTTGTCCTATCCTCACCCCTTACACACTCATTAGCAAGCACTACACACGCACACTGCCGGGAGACCGGTCGGGAGCTTAGAGCTTGTCTCGGCTGGGTCAGTACCCCGCTGGTGGGAGATACTGGTTGGGGAAACCCCCGCCAGCCGACGGTAGGTCGGCACCAGATCTCGCCATACAGCGGGGGAAAGAGCACCGCCACCTCCCGAGCAAAAGCATGCAATGCACTTACGGGACTAATGATCCTGTTAGTTGAAGCTCCCGGAATAACTATCAATCTACGTCTTTCTGTATGTCTTCGTCTACGTCTTTCTCTACGTTTCCCCTACGCCTTAATATCGTTTCCCTTTATTTTTCTTCGTCTTTCTCTTTGTTCTCTTCGCTCTTCTCTTCGTCCTTCTTTTTGTCCTCTTCGTCCTTCTCTTCGTCAGTATTTGTACACTTAGGAACGTAAAAGTGAGTACTCGAAGGTAAGAACTTTTATTCATTCTCTAACTTTACTGACAGTTTTGTTTTCTCCGTAATCACTTGAAATTCTTCAAATTTAATAAGTCCAAGGCGATAGCAATAAAATCGATTGATTGAAAAACGTCAGTTTGTCCTTCCGTCTATAGCCGTTCAGCCGATTCTCTTCAAACTTGATATTCCCGGATGGATCTGAACGACCGTGAAGCTTTGCTAGTGTCAAAGGGATATTTTGATTATTGAGGGTACTATTATTTAGATTTATTTAGTCAAAAAATAGTAAGAACTGTATGTGATGTATGGGGGAGAAGATAATCTGCGCAAGTTTTCCTGAGTTCCAGTATCCCTTCCCATCATTTTAACTATAAATAGTTGAAAGATGAGCAAAAGTTAAAGATAAATAAATTAGTAAATAAAAATAAAATTTTAAAAAAGCGCGAGATTAACAGCTTTGAAAAACTAGATATTTTCGTTTCCGAGTTATAGAAAACGTATTTGCAACGGTAAACGAGGTAAACGGTTTGGGTACTACATGATGAGCTTTGACCCCATCCCGATCAGGTTTTTCGTCCAGTTTCCCCGATCCTTTGAGGGAATACTGAGATGGCCCCTTATTTAGCTTTTGGTCATAAATATAACTTCATTATCTATGCAAATCTGCTAGTGGTCAATGGGAAATATAGTTATTCAAGTTATCGTTCTCGCTGTTCTTGCCGAAGTAAGTCGATTCCTTCACGAAAGATACGATGAGACCCATATCTATAGCTGATGTGCCCTTACAAAATTCACCGTAGCGAACAATTTCTTATCAATTCTTGCCAAAAACGCTCATTTTCATATGTATTCAGAATTCAACTTGTATATGGCTTAGGGTAGGGATCCCATCATTAAGAAATCGTGAACAAAATACACTTCTCCTCATAGCACGTCTCACACAGTTTTAACTATTTTTGAAGTCAAATAAATAAAAAATAATAATGAATGACTAAATAAAAAACGAATGAATAAATAAAAACGAATAAATGAATAAATAAATAATAACAGTTCATCCGCGAGAGCGCCGCGAAATTTGGTGATATAACCAAAAATCATGAAACTAGTGGTGCTACAACAGCATATACTTTCTTTCATTATTTGTAACTGCTCCGCAATGTTATAGTACTAAATGGCTCTACTGTTTTCAAGGAGCAAAACATTTTTCTCTGTGCCCAGACTCGAACTCAGGTCCATGGAAGCAACTCGGCATGCGTTTTATCGTTACACCACGCACTCGCGCGGCCACATTCGCGTTGCTGAAGCTTGAACGGCTAATGGTCTCTCCCATTATTTCTAACACACATTTTCCCAAAATTCAGAGAATTCAACGTAATTGTGTCCTGTCCTATTTTTCAAGAGTCCTTATGTGGAAGAAAATAATGAAAAAAATTAAATCTGTTTATAAGATATTTTAAAGTTGTATTAACTTCAAATAGAAATTATGTGAAAATTACACTTTTTTCAAAAAAAAAAGATCTACATGTTTTTAGAGATCTTGTTTTCGTTTGTATGCCGGAAAACGGCAATTTTTCAACAGAAAGACTCTTATGCCAGTGACCTAGTAACGAAAGAATAATAAATCTTGTTCCCTTCTTGAAGAGAGATACTTCGTGAAACACGTGTAAACAGAACCCATTTCTTGTGGGTCGAAGTGAATATTTTGAATCCACCGAAAGTAACTGACTTTGGGAGAATGTTACAGGAGAGCATTTTGAAAGTTCGTAGGTGCATCTCTAGACAAATAATTTTTCACATTACTTTCTCTTACTACTTTCTTATTTTGTATGCCCCCAAAGTATTCAGTAGTATTTTCAGTGCGAGGCTACAATAGTAAATTCTACCGGTCGCATTCAATTGGAACATATGCTTATCCCCCAACTGGTTTTCGTAACGTCATGAGTTCGTGATAAACGGCATGTGACGATTATATAAAATATTCGTGCAGATTATGTAAAGAAAGAACCGTAATTTGGACGGAGAATACATTGCATTTTAAAAACAGAACTTACTGGAGGGAATACTTTCAAAGCTATTAACACATAGACCTTGCCCATCTTATGCTACTCAGCTGGAGTTGTGTCGTGAAGTATCACAGTCATAGAGAACATTCGACAAAGAGTGAGGATACTTCTATCGCAAGCCATGACACCTCTGCAGCAGCACATTGAGGCCTTCAGAAAATTCTCATACTAAATCTACAGTTTGCAAAAATAAAATTCTGTCAGTCAGAAGCACGTCTTTTGTCATTGAGTACCCGGCTCGATAAGTGGTTGCCAAAGCCCATACATGTAAGACATCCAAATGTGTTTAGCCAATTTCATAATACACAGAAGCGTCAAACAACTGTTTAATCTCAGGGTAGATCTTCCCTGAAATGAAAGGATACATAGTCGCCGTACAAAATCAAAAAAATTCTATCAACAGGTTTATGACTTCTTAAAGATCTACGTGAACGCTGACCACTGCCGGTACGGTTGTGAAGAAATTGAATCAATACAGCACACCATCAGGCTCAACGTTGTCCTCGACCCGACTTCGTGAACATGCATGATGCTGTAGTGAAAATCATTCACCAAAAATTAATATATAATACCAATTACTATCTGAAGTGCAAATGATGTACTGTACGTACTATATATACCCGTAGAGTATTTTGGAAAATTGATTTTATTGATCATTTGTACTGGATACTATATCGTTTTAACATTTGTAACGATTGTCACAGACGGAATAGTCATCAGTAATCGACCTGATTTTTGTTCCATAAAGAAAACAGGTAAGTCGATGTTATTGATGTATCAATAACCCAACACATGAAATCTTCAGATTAAATACGCGGGAAAGAAGACTAAGTTTATGGGTCTCTCAGAATTATCAAACAATGGAAGAATCGTCAGAAAATTTGTGGGGTGATGAGATCCGACGCCGACGATTACGTTGGGTTTCAGGGTATTTTCTCTTCCTGGGGATATCCCCCATCGGAGCACCGGCCCTGCCATGAGAAGCTCCAACCATCCAACTGGTCTCCTGTCGTGCGTGGACGTGCAGTGTATGTGTAAATAAGAGAGGATAGCACAAGAAAGAAAAAGGAAAAATCGCGCCCGGTCTGTTGTTCATTCGTTAGGTAAATGCTCAGGTATTTACCTGGTATTGATGGGAGAATCCACGTTAACCTATCAGTCAAAGACGCCGGCGGCTCGAATTCTCCTCGGGATTCGAGCCCTAGGACTTTATTATTATTATTATTATTATTATTATTATTATTATTATTATTATTATTATTATTATTATTATTATTTATTAAACACGTTGCGTGTGTGTGCACACTTGATCACCGAGGGCGAGTGGCCACTGACTTTGAGCGGCGGCAGTTTCATGGCGGCAGCGAGCTCCGCGGCGCGCGTTGCTCGCAGGTAGTGGTCGCTGGCGAACGCCGCCTCCATCGTCGCCAGTTGCTCAGGGGTGAAAGGGATGCGCGGCAGGCGGCCTGCCCGCCGCTGGAGGGCGCCCGCTCGTCGCCGGGTTCCTGGATGGTGCAATTTGCATGTTAGTCTGTTGAAATAGTAAATAAGGTTTACAGACAGAAGTGCAAAGTTCAAACACTATACAAATAATCCTAATACTAATACACGAAGACAAAAATTGTATACCTTTTTAAGCATATTGCGCGCAGGGGGGAGAATAAGATTTCGCATAATTAGGCTTTATATGGAGGAGTGCAGAAAATATGTGTATAATGTGTTTCACATGCATTAAATAAATAAAAATGTATAATGTTCATATGCATTCCGCAATGCGCTGCAACGTTACTATCGTACATACCTCTTAAACGATGAGCCTTAAAATCTGAGTTTCGTGGCCCCTAGAGGACACGAGTTTTGTTTTATATGCCCTAAACTTCAAAATGAGACTTTTAGACGATTTATTCCAAGCTTATCGGTTAAGAGAAAGATACTTTACTATTGTATTTGCATTTGTGGAAAGCTTATTATTAATATTAGTTATGATTTTCGCACATTTATTTTTTCACTTAATATAACATTACACATAAACAAAGGGTACTGGGGACAACATTTTATTTCTGAAGAACTTGGCTCCACATGCGGTTGAAATCACAAGACCAGTTTCTGTTGTTTGCAGTGTGAGGGATGAGAAATCCAGCGATCCCACTGTTTCTATAGGTAGTATTTCATAGGTTTTCAAATTTCATAGGTATTGGAGGGGATTATGGCAAAAAACACGCTATGACGTATTTGTTCACGATCGAAGATGACATAAAACAAAAGTAAAAGACAGCCGTGGTTTTACGGGTATGGTCATTGATCTTTGAAAAAAGAAATTCAACGACGTTAATGATGTAAAAAATTATGGTCGAATTTTGACTACTGGGTGACCACTAGAATTTATAATTTTACATCACGTGGAGAACTTGTTCGCTTATAAATTTGTGGATTCCAGCACGGGCAAATTAACAGTACTTCAACAGCTCGTACACTCTCGCATTAATGGTAACGACTAAGGAATATTATAATACTACTAAAACCCACAAAAGTGTTTTCTATGCGCAATTTTTACTTTCTCGCTCACACATTGTTACAAAAGAATGTATTGTAACTGTATGCCGGAAAACGGCGAATTTTTACAGAAAAACTCATATTGCCGGGCCCTACTAATAAAAAAGTATATTGTATATATATATATATATATATATATATATATATATATGTGTATATGTGTGTGTGTGTGTGTGTGTGTGTGTGTGTGTGTGTGTGCCTCGGGCGACACCACTGACTCACTGGAAAATACGCACGCCGACGGTTCCAGCACGGCAATTCACCGCTGCCATTTCCAAGAACTCGGGTGACGTCGAAACTTCTACGAACTTTGCGAAGCCCAAACGGTCGCGGACCGTTCCGGTGTCGCTCGGGCAAGGACGAACACCGGGCAATGACTATGTGAGCGCCGGAACTCGAGCCCAGGACTCAAAACGGGCCGAGGTGCAACCACTGCTGCCGCGAGCCTCACCGTCTGTACGATGGATAAGGCGTTGCTAGCGCCCGGGATGCCACCACTCCACCTGGCGTCCCGACCGCCTTGCGAAGGGTGAGGGGGAGGCAATCCACACGAGGACACGCAGAGCCGCACAGTCGCCTGAACGGCAGAGGAAACGACCGCTGCTTGTGTCACCGGGGTCATGGACGCCGGGGAGAGCGCCGCCCTGCGCATCCAAAGGGTGAACTCTGGCCTGAATGGCCATATGTAAGATAAGTTAGTTTTAAGAAAGACTTGTTAATAACGAGAGACTTCACCTCGAATGGAATGGTTATTAAATCAACTAAAAAAATTCAGCCATGTGTTTTAATGCATTATGAGCATGAGAAAAAGCCTATGTATCCTAGAAGAGTCTACAGACTGATGAGCCGGGGCAACGCTGTACCGGGTAAACAGGTAATCGGGTGAGTCGGGACAGCCACCCGGGAGGCCCGGGGTGGTTACAATATATATACAACTTACTCAATTCTACTACTTTTTTATTATTTTAGGAGAATTTTTCTTTTTGAACAAATATATTCATTTCTTGTGTTAATAATAAACAATTTACATGTTTTTAGAGTATTTCTATCTTTCTGCAATGCAATTTTTTGCCTAGAAAGCATTTTTCAAAACAACTTTTGTGTGCATTTATCGGCTAAGCCATTCTCAACCCATGTAGTTTGTTAGACAAAATATTCTTAAAATTGTCTCAAGGACTTATTTTCGAAGTTTCGACGTTTCCATGTATGTATACATATACATACATTGCCCTTGAGACAATTTTAAGAATGTTTTTTCAAACATTCTACATGGATGGAGAATATATATATATATATATATATATATATATATATATATATATATATATATATATAGACACACCGAATAGCCAAAAAATCTTGTGCACTCGCCAACAATCGTTTAGGGCCCCGCGAGCACGCAGAAGTACCGCATCACGACGTGGCATGAACTCGACTGTCTGAAGTAGTGCTGGAGGTAATTGACACCATGAACCCCGCAGGGCTGTCCATAAACCCGTAAGAGTATGAGGAGGTGGAGATCTCTTCTAAACAGTACGATGTAAGGCATCCCAGATATGCTCAATAATATTCATGTCTGGGGATTTCGGTGGCCAGTGTAGTGTTCTTGGAGCCACTCTGTAGCAATTCTAGACGTACTCTGTTGCATGATCCTGCTTGAGTTTCCCAAGACCATCGCAATGTACAATGGGTGCAGGTAATCAAACAGAATGCGTTACCTGCTAGTCGTATCTAGACGTATCAGGTGTCCCATATCCCTCCCACTGAACGCGCCCCATACCATCATAGAGCCTCCACCAGCTTGAACATCCCCGTGTGTACATGCAGGTTCCATGGATTCATGAGGTTGTCTCCATACTCCTACGCGTCTATCCGCTCTAAACAATGAGAAATGAGACTTGTCAGTCCAGGCAACATGTTTCCAGTCATCAACAGTTCAATGTCGGTGTTGACGGGTCCATATGAGACGTAAACCTTTGTGTCGTGCAGTCATCAAGCGGACACGAGTGGCCGTCCGCTCTGGAACCCCGTATCTATAATGTCTCGTTGAATGGTTCGCACGCTGACACTTGTTGATGGCCCAGCATTGAACTCTGCAGCAATTTACGGAAGAGTTTCCCTTCTGTCACGTGTAATGATTCCCTCAGTCGTCGTCGGCCCCGTCCTTGCACGATCTTTTTGCGGCCGCAGCAATGCCAGATGTTTGATGTTTTATAGGATTCCCGATATCCACGGTACACTCGTGAAATGGCCATACCGAAAATATCAAATTCCATCGCGACCTCAGTGATGCTATGACCCATCTCTCTTGTGCCGACTATAAGATCACTTCAAACTCACTTAAATCATGATAATCTGCCATTGTAGCAGCAGTAACCAATCTAAGAACTGTACCAGACTGGTTGTCTTGTATAGACGTTGCCGATCGGAGAACCGTATTCTAATTTGTTCCAGATCTATTTATTTCAATACGCATGGTTGTACCAGTATGTTGGCTCTTTAGTGTATATACATATTTAATTGTATTTTTGAAATTTTCTCAAAAAGTATCTCTCAAATCTTTGGATTAACTTAAGGATAGCTTAAAATAATGGCGCACGTCTCATTTTCGGTAAAATCCTTGAGTTTTCGGAAATTGCAAAAGTTTAATTTTTTAGGGTCTTCATACAACTATAATATTGAAGTTAAAGAGGTTTTCATTAATTTTTGTATTTAAATTTATTTATAGTCCTATCAAGAACTTGGCTGTTAGCGACTATTACGAGTACTGTAGTACATTAGGTGAGATTAACGAAATTATATTTTTCAAGAAACAATGTTACATTTTAACTTTCCGATAAATTGTAACTGGTATTAAATCATACTTGAGAGGATTAATTTATATAAAACAACGATGTTACAGTTCAGTAAATATATTGATAGCTTTACAATAGTTAATTATTTTATGTTGATCTTGTAATGAATGTAGGATGGCTTCGAATTTGATGTACAATCCTTTATACACATAAGGCAAAAAATAAAGATAAAAATTGGAGCAATTTTTTAGAAAATAATTGTTATAAATTAGGAAAAAAGCTCTGTGTTCAACATTGTAGTTGTAGGAACTCGCCGAAAGCATTTTGAAATTTTGCAATATTCGAAAATTCACGTATTTCAACAAAAATTAAATACACTATCCACTGAAAACGTTTAACCAAAACATTAGGAGCAATGTTTAAGAAAATTTTGAAAATGTTGAGGGTTCGTGTAAAGTACCCCCAAATATCAAAATATCCGTTTCAAGTTTGCAGGGTTTCTTTCTTACAGATTGATCGGGGAACATCCATTTTGGAGGAAGTCCTCAAAACGGTTTAGGCGCTAGCGTTGACCACACAGACAGACGGGGAGACACGTTTTGCCATCAATCTATTTTTCGGTATCAAGGTCTCATAAAACATGGATTTCGTCTACACAACGTGTTAGATGAATTAATATACTACAAATAGGAACAAGATGTATCCAGTTTTTCGTTACCGAGCCCCGGCAATAATAGTGTATCTGCCAAAAATCATCCGTTTTGTGACACACAACTAGAATACTTTCTCTCTTCTTACGCGGTAAGGCGACAAATTCGAAATATCTATATTCAGTTGGAGAAAGACGACAAAAAATTGCGTCAATTTTAAGAGCGAGCATACTTGTTATCTGAGAAAAAATAGTTAAGAAAAAATGTGGAGCAATTGTTAACAAAATTTTGAAAATGTCCTTGACTTTTATTTACAATTAAATCAAAAATCAAAGTATGTGTCAAGCAAAATATCAAGGTTTCGCAGGTTATGAGTATCTACATTACATCAAAGGGGTTCAGGCTGGATAACAAACAATCCCACACTTAAAGAGGAAAATAAAGCAAAATGTAACTGGCATTTCGAAAAATATTTTGTAACATTTTTGAAAGTAATAATTTTACACAATAGATTTCATTTTTTAAAATATTTTGAATATTGTAGTCGTTGATTGATTGATTATTTCGTCCTTCCGAGAGCGTCAAGTGTAGTGCATGTTTTTATCATGTGAGGTGGCAGTGTAATCAGGCTTGATCACTATCTCGCTTGATAGTGTAATCAGGCGCCGTCCTACACATCGGCTAGTGAGGTTCTCCCACATCCAGCTATCTACCACCAACGGGAAAACGACTCAGTACATGTTCTAACATCTAATCAGAACATCTAACATAACTACTAATCAGAGTAGCCGGACGCTAGAATTCTCCCTGAGACAATGGCTGATATCGACTAGCGACGAAAGCCAGCTGTTTTGCCAGTGACGAAAATCCTACGACCGTCGGAACTCGAATCCTATGTCCTCCCGGTCAGAAGTATTGCTGGGATTCAGACGACGCTCTGAGCCACAGACGGTTCGTTGTTGTAGGAAGACGCCGGCAAAACGTTAAACTTTTGCAATTTTTATTTCATGGTAATGATGTTTTTCCTTTCGGACGATCGACGATTATACAATCATCGTAATATGAGAGTTGCCACGATCCTTTGTAAATCTCACATTCATATTAAATCGTACATCTTATTTACATCTTCAAACAAAATGAAGATAAAAAATGTAAAAAGTTCGAAAACTGGATGGAAAGTAAACTAATATGACATATTACAGTGAATGAACCTTTCCATTTTTCGTTCTTATAGCAGATAATATCACGTAGATACAAAAGCCGTTCTACGTTCCGTATTCAATCCCGGACAAGTAGAAGTTCAATTTTGAATCGGATACTGTCAAGTTGAATGGACAAAACAATACGTAACTCTTTAATAAGTTGGTGTATATTAGGCTAAAATGTAAACGTCGTAGAATGAGAAGAAACACACAGCAATAAATTCACGTTGCCTCTTACGCGGTAAACGCGGTGGTTGGTAGCGGCTACACCTGAGCCACTCGTACTCGTGCGGCGGGGTCGCGTGTCGCTGGTCGGTCGCCTCCGACTCCCCGCTCGGCGCCGTCGCAGCCGCTGGGTTGGCGGCCAAGGGGATGGGGTCGTCCGCGGCCAGCAGTCGAGCGATGCTGAAGTCCGTGGTTCGAGGAGGCTGCATGTCCCTGTAACCCGGTTGGAGCGCCACTTCCGTCTCTGCCACCACATGCCCTTGGACATGCGCGCACCTCGCCACCCGGAGCGTCGGCGAGACGCAGATCTGCAACAAATCCATTTAACCGTTCGCGTTTAAACCAATGAGAAATGGCAACGGCGCCATGTGCTGCGTAGGTGAGAGAGTTACCGGATAAGAGAAGTAATATGCATTCTGCATAAATTTACAGCTCCAATTTTACTGTGGCTAGGAACACATCCAGAATCATCAAATCGTCGCGACGTTTGGTGAAATTCAAGGGGGACCAGGTGCCTGAGAGGGAGTGGATATTATTTTTAACTCTGAAATTATTTTTAACGAAACAGTTTAAAGAATTGTTAGGATAAGTAAAACGGATACCTCAGTTAATTTATTTGGTAGTAGGTCCGTTAATTGAAAGATCATACGTAACTATTAAGTTACGAGTGGCAGCTGAGACCTGTATGTTTAGAAAGAAAGAAAACTTGTATATGTTACCTTGCGTTAATGTATCAGTGCACTGCACGGTAAGAGTATTTTATTAAACAATAGGTAATTATAGAAAGTTTTGCCCGTTTTGTTTATAGGCTAGTCAAAAGTAATTACATATTCTTCAAGATACATAATATTTACTGATTAACGAAAGTTCACCTGGAAGCTAGTGTCTCAATATTTGGATCTTTCAGAACCAGTTGTACTTGTATTGTGTTGTTTCTATTTGAGATTACTCCTTTCATTATCAAGCTAGAGACTGTGACATTTTTTTTGTATTTACATTAAGAAATGTTACTAACAAATGCTTCCATTCGTATGTAAAAACAGTCTCTCTAATATTTTTCAAAAAACCGAAAAAGAGAAATTGGCCGATAATTTGAATTTCATTTCTTTTTTTGCCTTTTTTGAAAAGCGGCTTAATCTTAACTGTTTTAAAAATATCTGCAAAAATTCCTGTACATAAGGATACATTAAATTTGTGAGTTAACAGGTGTATAATGGCGGGCGCGCAAATCGTTAACAAACAGTCCGGAAAATTCATCTACACCGGCCGAATATTTATTTTTTAATCTACTGATTATATTGAGAATTTCATAGGAAGAAGTCTCGGAAACAAATATCGTACCTGAAATTTTTGAGGAAACGTCTGATGCTAAATTTTGTGGCTGAATACCCTTACTGAGATCGGTAGCAATTCTCGAAAAGTATTGGTTAAAGACTGCCATTGATGAGAAAGCTACTGTAGCCGGATCGTTCACATTTCTATCGTTCTCTTTTAAAACAACATTCTCTACAAGGTTTCTAGTTGATTTGGTCGAATTTTTTACTACATTCCACATTGCTTTTGTTTTATTATTTGAGTTCAAAATATCTTGGTCATGTTTGTATCGACAGTGTTGTAAACCGCGTCCCGTGACTCTTTCAGTAAGTAATTGATGAATAATTTTATTTTACTTTTAGTAAATAATCTACTCATACGTGTATTATTTATTGTTTTGTTAATTAGTATTTGATCGATTCTATTCTTTCAATTTAGTGTGATCCGTGTATGCACATTTACTGTAATATATAAACTGAAGGAATGAATTAAATTTAGAAACCGCTCTTTCTCGCAAGATTCGACGAGAAAATCAATGTTAAAATCTCTACATATAACAATGGATTCAAAAGAGAGATTGTTGACATTGTTTAGTGTTATCTCCAATTCCTTTAAGAACATAATATAATCTACTGCTCTCTTTGTTGGAGGCCTGTAGATGCAAAGTAATATAATTTTTAGCGAAGGAAGATGTACTAATGACATTTCAAAAACATTTTCAACGGAGCACACATTTAATTCCGACAAGGAAATAGAATCAATATTATTTCGAACACAAATGCAAGAACCCCCATATGCAGGACCTTTATGTGATTCCTTTTCTCTACAATAATAGCCTGCGAGGTAAAAGTTTGGAATTTGGAAAATGCTAAGATCATTATGAAATAACCAATGTTATGTATAGCAAAGAACTTCCATTCGATTTAAATCGCTCTCTACCTCGAGTGCGTGTTCGAAGGTTGTAGTGTGTCCCGGCAGTGACAGGTTGTGAGAAAACTGAGGCATCAGGTGTAGGAGAATTGGTAGTGGGAGTGGGGGAAACGGGAGAAGGATCGGAGGAGGAGGTAAGTGGGTTCGAAATAAGGGTGGGGGTGGTGAACGTAAGGAAGGTGAAAGGGAAGAATTTTTGGCAGGAGACTGCGTAGGACTGGAGTAGATGTGTTGTGCAAGCTTGTAGCCGACTGTATGTTATTCAGCAAGGTTCATGTGGAGACCATACAGGGTGAAGTGTTTTGCTGAGAGGAAATTCATTTCAAAAAGTGTAACATTTGTTTCTCTCAGTTGCAGTTTTAATTGTTGGTTTGCGTGCTTAATCTCGCTGTTGAGTGTTGGTCAGTTGTACCAGAAGGGCAGGGTCGAGACTACAATGTTATATTTTGGGCGGCACGTTGTAATTTGTTTACATGCTGTTCAGGTTTAAAGTTACCGCCGAAATTAATGTCATTCTGCCCGCCTATGATAATGACTATGTCCTGATTGGTCAGTGTCTTTGTGTGGGTGTCCAACTCTGCAGTCACGTCTGCAAACCTTCTGTTAGGTTTAAAAATAGATGAGAGTGAGTAGTTGGAGGGCAACTTCCTACTGAGAGTGGAGGAAAGATGGCGGCCATGGGTGTCAGCTAAAATAAAGTGTGTGTTTTTTAGACTCAGTAGGAATGTCTTTGTTTTCAAGTGGGCTAGGATGCGCAGTTTTACGTGTTTTGGTTTTGACGCGCTTCCTAGCCTGTTTGCGTTGGTTTGTGCATGAATTTGTCCATGGCGGAGAAGTATTGTGAGGATCAGGAAGGCGAGGAAATTCTGTTTCATAATTTAAAAAACCAAATTTGTTCTGAGTTGCGACTGTATATGGTTCTTGTGTCTTTTGTACAGTCACGCCTGAACGGTTGGGAAGATTCGTAGTTTTGCCAGCTTATACCCAACCGTCTGTATAGAGAACGACTTCTTCCAACCTTCGGATATGTCGAAGGTATGATTCATGTGTTTCATTTACTTTTCGCACAAAGTAATTATTGATTCTTTTTCATAATTACCTGCATGTGTGTTTGTTGATCTTCAGTGAGGTTAAACGATTGAATTATCTCTTCGGCTTCACAGCCTATTGTTGTCATAAATGAGGCGACGTCGGGCTTCATCCAACTGTATTGCTTTTGGTTGTACGAAACCTCCACATGTACCATTCCAGTACCATATTTTTACCAAATATCAGCGGTTTCGTTTACCAATGTTTATGCGATGAACTGACCTCTAATCTTGCATGTTTTCTTCTAGGTTGGCCATTTTCTTGTTATGCCAATTTTTCCTTTAGTCAGTCAGTCGGAAAATGAATATTAGCACATGCTACATTTTCTAATGCAAATAATGCTACATTAGAAATCCATATTGATCTATATTAGTGTTGGCCAAGTGGCGAAGAAATGACGTCGGAGGTCCGTTCTTTTCCCCGAGCGCCTGCTCTGAGAAGCGTTGCGAGGGACAGACGGGGACGCCGATAACGAAAACCAGTGGGCCTTTGCCGTTGTTTCAGGGAACATGAGTTTTCAAACTTTTAAATGGGTTTTAACATTTTGAATTTTTTTAAAGCAAGTTTTAATTTCGCTTGGTGCACGAGTAAATTTTCAAATGTTGCCCTAATAATCTAGCCTAGCCCTTGCTATATTTTAGAATTTTTTAAATTTTTTCTGATTGATGCGCTATGATTAAAAAATTAAAATACATATTTTCTCCCATTATTTTCATGTATGTGGAACTTAATAGAGGTATGTGCTAAATGCCTGAAACCAATATACTTGTCTACCACGTTTAAAATATTCTCTTAGAATATCTTGTTTCCCTAATATATAATTAGGGAATAATAGTAATGAATTTTCTTCACAATCATCAAGTGGTACTATATCATGTTGATGACTAATAAATGTAATAATATAATTTTCAGGCTTATTACTCTGATTCATAAATGCTTGATATTTATCTTGTTCAAAATATTTTGAGTATACATACACATGAATGATTTTATTCCAATTTAAGCATCCTGGACTCATTATATAATTATCAATCAATAAACATGTTTTACCAGATCCTCTTGGTCCTATACTAGCACATCGTATAGAATATGGTAATAATTTACCAATTTTCATTTTTGTTAGTTTATTCTGCAATCGAATTTTTGGATCCCAATCAATTGTTTACTCATTTAAATGAGTAAAATATTGAAGCTAAGTGATCATCTTCAAATAAAATTTTTTGAAGTATCTCACGCCGTTAATACGCTCATTTCCAACGATTTACATGCATTATTGCATTTGTGGTTGGAAGTCCTTCAAATGACTTCCAATGAAGTTTACAAAAAAGTCAAAAGTTTTCTGTGTAAAAGATCTTAATTTCGCATTTACAATAACCTCGAAAAGACATTTTCTTAAAAACGACACCAAATTTTTCAACAACAATTTTCATATAGCACGAGGTTTTCCTCTTCATTAATATTCTTAAAGTAATATTTCGGTTCTACCATTAGGAAACCATCAAAATCAATTTTTTTTTACAAAATGTTCTTTGGGGATGATAGAAACAGCTGGCGAGAGAATGGGGCAAGACCAAAAAGTTAGTCCAGACCAAAGACATTTGAAAACTAACTAGTACGGGAAAGTCTGTGCCATTCTGTAGTGCCCCTTGTTTGAAATTAATCCATCCTTTTTCAAATAATATAAAATTATACAAAATGATAAATATAAAATATTATTAAAAAATTGTTAATGTTTTAATAAATAAAAAATTAATGTACACGAAATGCACAAATTATTTTTAATTTAGTAATTGATGATATAAATTATAAAATATGCACATGTGATGAAAAACAAAGGTTTTAAAATATCATTGTGATATTAAACAGAAAAAATCCTGTCGTGGGAACGTCGTGGGAAGCTATACACAAGAAACACCATAGGCGTTGTTGCAATACATTAAATTTCACAAAAAATCTATAGAAAAACTGGATCAAA